TGAATATTAATTAACCAACACTTTCATAAACATCTAAATAACTGCATATTAATCAATAAATACCATCATAAACACCTATTGACTGAATATTAATTAACAATCTCATAAACAACTAAATAGTGTTTATATTATTTATTATATCCACAAACAACTTACTGTTTTTATGAACAACAATTAATTGTCTGTTTATTTGTTACTAAGTGCAAAGCTACACAATAGGCTGTCTATGCTGTGTACACTGCGGGTATCGAAATCCGATTTTTAGCTTTATAAGCTCCCACACCGGCGAGGTAGGACGACAATTAATGGTCTGTTATTATTTCCAATGATAACTATCGGTGTTTTATAATTAATTACGGGCTGGGCGTGGTTTGACAGTTAATACGCTAGGCGGCACATCAAATATTCCGGGGATTCGAGACGCGATGCCGCTTAACATTCTTCGTACTTTCAGTTGTAGGTGCACAACAGAATTGTCAATTATTCGATTGAAACAGCTAACCAAAATTTATGTGGCTGCTAGTGTTGTTGGCTATCTGCCTTCTCTCTGGTTAGTTCAGAATTAGGGACGCTACCTCTATCTGAACCCTAAATCACGTGTACACGAAGCGCCGCTCACGTTTTAATTTCCATTTTTAATTATTTAACATTTCTTCCAAGTGTATTAATAATGAATTGTTTCTACCATGAATAACCATTGAGAGGCTTTAATTAAATTATTGTTAATTTCTCCTCGAACGTTATTTTTCAACATGTCAATTTAGGAAATGCTATTAGGCTAAGGCTGCTCATTATCATAAAAACACTTATCATCTTAGATTAAGAAATATTTAATCTCTAAACATAACGTTTATAACAAACTTTCCCGTAGATTTTTCAAACTTTGGGTTTCTGGTATTTTTTTACGGCATTTTGTTACATTATGAGTTCACACACAGTTGTCTATTCAGTTAGTCACCTTGCTTGTCGTAATGTAATTCACGCTCTTCCATTTTAATTATTGTTATTTTATTACCCTCGGCCACGGAGGGTGGAGGGAGAGGGTATTGCAATAGAGTTCGCGCGCGCGTGTGTGTTTGTTTGTTTTTCCGCGCCCGTATCTCGAAAAGTAATAGACCGTGGTACATGAAAATTTTACATAAGATGGGAAGTCAGTATGGGACAGTTCTCCCCAAATTTAGTCCGGATCCAAATCCAGATCCTGGATCACTTTTAAGCATTTTTTATAATGTGGAGATAAGGCATTTTCGCGGTTTTGGGTTAATAACTCTGTAATGTGTGATCGGCTTTGTACCAAATTTCATGGGTACGTTAAGGTTGAGATTCCTCACCACATTACAAAAAATTATCCGGATCGTTGGTCATTCTGGATCTGAGAAGTATTTTCTGAGTTTTCGAAGGTGAATTTGACGTTATCCAATATTAACGCATGCCATCTCGAAAAGGAGCGGTGGACCGAGGGTATGCAATCTCTATTATTGCTCTTGTTACAACTAGTTTGTAGAGGACTATATTACGTTAACTAACAGTACTTGAAACATTATTGTACAATGAGG